GAAACTGCCTTAAATATTTAGGTAGTTCCTTTGAGATGAATATCCACACTTTTGTATGCTTATCTGAACTGAAGCTGACCTCTGAGAATTTGGAGATGTGCCTGTCACTGCTTTATAATCGCAAGTATAATAATAAAAAAGGAAACTGAATCAGAGGTAAAAGGCTGTAATGGCAATGAATACAAGAGGCAGGAATATGTGTCAGAACCACATAAAGGATGTTTCTTAAATGGTCCAGCTACTCATTCTGTGGAGGTGTTGCTAGCATAATTGAAAAGATCTTATATTGTCAAAAATTGGAATACAGCCCAGACAGACAAGGTTGTGTTCAACTTGTCATTCCGAGCCTGTTCTACCAGGTACCAACATTTTCCAATCTTGCATACAAACGTTATACTCTGACCTGAAAAAAATGCAGGAAAACATTGAATTGGACTTAATCTTCTTTTTATTTGATTTGCCAGGGCTGAGTATTTGGTCATGGCATTCTTCACAAATGATTTTCTTGAAAGAATAAAGTCTTACAGAGAATTTCCTTGTTTCATACAGTCTGATTAATTCAGTAAGTAAATTAGACATTTGGAAAATATATATATATATGTAAGTATATAAAGAAGAAAAAATATATATATATGAGATTCTTAATGAACTAAGGTACTTTTTTAGAGCATAACCTTTCATCTTCTGACACTGTAAGCTATATGCTTTGATATCTGAATGAGCCAATGAGCTTACTGGGACTGTATCGTTACAGTTGACAAAAGATAACATAGAATTGAAGGCTATTATAAAAAGTTGCATGTTTCTTCAAATTTAATTCATGTATTATGTGACATTCTCACAGGCACTGTTAGTTGCCAATCATTTTCCACCTTGTGATTCTGGGATTAAATTGTCAGCTGAAGCTGGATTAAAGAAAAAAAACCTCCACAAGCTCAAGGTATCAGAAATCCAAGTATTGTCAATAGATAGCATTTATAAACAAAGGAAATCATCAACTCCAGGCTGAAATGTGTAAATCAGAAAAGGGCACAAAGGTGACTAGAAATAGTCCAAAATAGTATATAACAAGATTCATGAAAGAAAGTCACGAGGAAGTAAAAATACTGCTTAATAATTAAAGCACATTCTGTGGCAGGCAGAAAAACCCCAACAAGGTGGATGTTGAAATAGAAGCCGCTAGACCTGTGAACAATAGGATGTAACATATTATAAAGTTTCTGCAGTCTACAAGACTACTCATAGGATTCATACAGCAGAGGACAGTTTACAAATTCAAACTAATCCCTCAAAGAAACAATGGACGGCACTGTAAAAACAGATGAATAGATTATAAGCATGAAAATTAATGGGATATTTAATAATTAAAATAAATTTGAAGTTAAGAGAAGTTAAGGATGTTATATCGAAAATAAGAAAAGTTAGAAAGCTGCTCATGCAGCTTGTTCGTAAAGTACCTGGAAAATATCAACTTAAAAAAAATTATCTAAAGAGAAAATCTTCTAATCATCCCAAGTCTTCAATTTCATCAGAAGGTTACTTTTAATTCAGAGGAGAGTATTATGTCAGAGAGCAAGGTTAATTTCCAAGAGATAGTTTTCAGAATACAGAATAAGGTCAAGTGAGTACAGGAGAGTCTTTAAAAAACCCAGTGACTCTATGATTTATGCTCTTGTAAAGTTCAGAAAGCTCAGGATAAAGGCTAAAAGAGGAACTGGAAAGTCTTATGGCTTGGAAATTGTTGAATAAGTGCAAGAACCAGTACAAAAGATACATTTGCTTATCAGTGAGGGAAAAGAGCACGGAATCCAGAATAATTAAATAAGAAGCAACGGAAAGGTTCCCACAACTAGCACATGCAGAAGCCACAAGAAAAAAATAATTATCACTTTCCCATCATCACGTATGTATGTGTGAGACCTTATCTTTTTGTAGTGTCATTTGAATTGTCAAGCACAGAAGATATTTTCTTGCAGAATAAAACCACTCTAAGATGCCTTGAAAGGAAGCACAGGCTACAGATAAGATGGTTAGGGGAGAAAGTAATAATTAGGATCATAGGAATAATTTTGGGATTGACACGATCATGTATCTGTCTCCATCTAAGTGTCTAAGCTCTCATTTTAACCAAAGGAGAACTGCTCATTATAGGCAATAAAGCATAGAGAACAATTCAGGTCATCAGCAGGTTTTGGGGGAACTGAATTACTCACTGGGCCCCACTGAATGTACTCTTTAGATCTGCAGTACCAAACCAAATCTCTAACCAAATCCCACTATTAAAAAAATAAGGGATGCATGAAAGTATCAGTACTATAAAAGAAATAAGGTTCCCTTGGAGACATCCGGTGCACCAGAGTAGCAGTTATTTAGAAGGAAAAGAGAAGGATAAAAAACCAAACAAACCTTAATATGTTATCGACACCATCAAAAATATGCTTTAGACTCAGTGCATCTATGTGGAAAATTTTGGGTTTATGCTAATTGAAACTCAGTTAAAACCATTTACTGCCATTAGCAAGGACGGAAATGGAAATACCAAGAGTCTGACTCACACTTGCAATCTGGGGAGATCTCAGTCATTCTACAGTGGTGGTGGTTATAGCACTGGAAGAATGGGAAAGAAGGGCAGTAAGATATTCAGAATAAAAGAAACAAAGAGGGAAAGAAGAGGAAGATCAAATAGCCAAGATGCTTCATAACAGCTTTTATTGCCATTATAAAAATTTGCCTAGTAACTATTTTGGCATAGAAGACCAGAGATTATTTTTCTCAGATACGCAGTATGATTGAGAATTTGATACAATAGGAGATGGAGGCCGAAAATTGTAAATATACTGACTAGATAATTAAACAAAAGCACGTGGAGCAAAGTTTACAGCTACTTTGTGTTTCATGTCAATAGTTGAAATAAATTAAATCATTCTAAAACTTCTGTGGCTTGGAGTGACTAAACTGGTGCTGAAGATCTGCCAATGGAATAGAACCACAACTTAATTAAGGAGCTAGTGCCACAATGTTATCTTCTTTAGTCACTATCGTCACTTTCATAAGAAGTTTGAATACTAAAGGAGGTTTTGCTAAAAAGTTTGAAAAAATTTATGGTATTAAAGAAACTGTGTCAAAAGCAATAAGTATATATATTTGGAATTGAAATACCTGACAGAATAGATGATTACACCTCATACTGAACTCAAGTAAACAATCACATTAAGCAATTACTTAATACTTGGATGGTGCAATTCAAATGGCAGTGTCCAGATGAGTGGAGAGAAAATAATGAACTCTTCTGGAAGCCAAGTAGTAGATAAAAGCCACAGCTGTTTGGTTATGTGATAAAATCCTGTCTGTCCACACACACAGGAGTATAGACAAACTATGGCAGATAGGAAGAGTCCAAAGAACACCCTTCTCAGTTCCATCAAATGATACTTCTTCACCCTCTCTAATGGTTGGACCTGGGGGTACGGAGCTGCAGCAGCCCCCCCTCTCTTGGGCTTTCAGATCCAGCTCAATGTATTTTGCCTCAAACAAAAAACAAAGTAGACGATGCCTCACAACCGTACTGCTGAGGTTTTAGTAAAAAATTACACTGTGTGTAAGCATAAAGCTACCGATGATTTATTTAGACATAGGCATTTGGTGAAAGTAGGCTGAAAGTCTATATTTTATTAAATTTGATTGGCTTGGGAGGAAAGATGTAGATCACAGTTTTCAGAATTTCTCAGAAGTGACACCATGATTCATTTTACACAAAGCAGATAAACTGGAATTGGATCCACCTCATTTAAATTTATTAATCTAAAAGCTAAAGGAGCTTCTTTAGGGTCTCCAGATTATGAGGCTATTTTAAGATGAAGGGAGTCATCCTCTCCTTCCGTTGTTTATCATGAAAGCTCCAACAAAGCAGATGATTTTCAAAGAGCTAAATATGATACCAATACCCCCATTAAAAGCTAGGTACAGAATGAAACAGATCTATTAATGTACTTGCACTGTAAAGGCTAAGATGAGACTCATGCCAGGTCATCTTTCTGTGACTGCTCTTGTTACTGCTGCTGGGGACAGAGTGAAGTCAACTGACACTAAATAATCTATAGTCAAAACTGGTTTTAGCTGCAGTTAGTTCTGCTGTATCCATCCCTCCAATTCTTTGTTTGATATAGCCAGCTTTCTTGTTTCAAGTCATAAGTACCTAAACATAGTTTTCAATTCTCAGTGTACAGGTAACTGTCATATCTTTTTAATCACAATGATGCATTGACATCACTATGTAATTTGATGTAAATAGCTCTCATTGTGTCTCAATCACTGAAGTTGTGAAAACGCATTAAAACAATTCATTCAAACACAACCACTGGGTAAATCTGATTTCCGTTTTAACATTTACAAACAAATATAATTTACTTACTTTATGGTGGTATGAATACAGAAAGCAAAGCACTTCCCCCATTTCAGTGCAGGGGGACTGAAGATCTTTACATTGACATTATAAAACTATACCTATTTTAAGTGAAAATAACTCTCTTATCAAATCAGAATGGAATTATTTTTCATTTCGCTCATCTACACTGTTTCCTCTCTCCTCCCACCCTTTCCCCACACTCCTACATTTCCCTCGTGATTTTGCTGAATAGCACTAGGCAGATTTCTGGCTCAATTGATTTTTTTTTCATGTACAGGCTTTCAGATATAAACACTTCACTAAGAGCAAAGCTCACACAAAACACAGCTACCTGCACCTACATTGTGTCTAAAGAGGTAAATTGGAACGGACAGAGGTGAGGGCTAGCGATGAATACACCTGCGCAAATTCTTTCATCTTCCACTACAAAGTCTGTCTGCCACCATAAAGCGATCAGCTGAATAACTTGTATCTGATTATATAATTCCTCTCATTTCTGAAAAAAGGGTAAAAAAGGATTTTGCATATAAAAAGCATTAAAACTTCATTGATTTTGATTCTACTATTGTTTGAGAAGTAAAATATCTGATCTTACCTCTTCACAGGCAGTCCTGAAATCCATGTGCTATGACACAGCAAGTGATATTTGTCTAAAATGGAAAGAAAGATTTCATTAGAATGAAAAAGATCTTGCAAAACATAAAAGTTATCTGTCTGAGCTTAGCAACTGCACTTCTTTTTGTCAGGTCCAGTCATTGCTTAAAAAAAAGAAACGATCAAAGCTGCAACAGAATTAGGGAGTGTAAGGTGTTATAAGTTGTTCCTGGTTCTTATAAAATGCTCAACTCTGTTTCATTGAATATAATCAGAGGAATGCTTATGTTCCCACAATCTCTTCCCTTCTATGGGGTATTCAAACTTACTTTTCCTATTGCCAGTGTGAGGGGTTTTGGTTGGGGTTTTTGTTTTGTTTTGTTATGTTTTTATTCTTGTTTGTCTGTTTTTTCAAAAGTAAGGGTACACTGGAAAGTAACACTTCAGATGGAAACAATTAAGTTGCTCTTCAGAATGCTCTCTCTCTTCTAAAAGACTATGTTTTTCTAAATTTTCTCCCACAATTAAAATCCATCATGCGTCAATACCTTTTGTCTCAGATCGTATTAGCATACATAACCTCTCCAAGGAAGCCAGTGTCATTAAATAGTGTGATTGCTTTGCAGAAATATTTATGAGTTGAAAAAAACAAATGTTAGAAAAGTCAGAAATATGTGTGAGTGTTGACAAAATGTCACACCGAAATCTGTGATTATTACTTTGCCTGGCCTTTACCTAAAGTGTATTCATCCCAATGCACACTTATGCATTCGTTTATTTATAAGATAAAGCCATGGGACCAGGCTGTTATCAGAGGATAATAACAGTGTCCTGCTGCTGGTTCTGCAATAGAAATATGTATCAGCCAGTAACATTTCCAGGAAGCACTTCCTGGGCAAAACAGTCATTTCATTCAATGGCTGGAGAAAAGAAATGTCTAACGAAATCCTCTCCATCAAGCATTTTATTACTATTCTGAACTAATTATGTGCTTACAATTACTTGTATAAATATAGTGCTCAAAGTCTGAACACAAAATTTGCCCCATTAGCCCAAGTTTAAAATAAAATTTAAAAACTGTATTTCACATAGTACAAAAAAGTGAGTCCCAATACCTATAATAAAACCTCTCAATCTCTTAAGTGTCTTAATTTGTTTTGTTGCCCTGGATGCAGTTTTATTAAGCGCCAGCACACGCACACATATAAGGTTAATGTTCTGTGTTTACTGAGCTCTGCCTTGTTCACAGCCTATGCTCTAGACTAATTTCTAGCAGAGCTAGCTTAGACTGGCTAGGTTACAATGCAGGAATTTAAAAGGGACCCAGCATCCGTCCGTCCTTAGCAGCTTTACAAGACGCAATAAAGAACCATATCTGTAATTCTGCTTTCAAAGTGCTCATAAAAAAACAAGGTCACTATTACAGTTCTGAAAACTTCTCTCCAGTGGGACAGTCATTGTGCAATGAAGTATGTTTCCTCGTAATTTTTATTAACTCCCTTTCTAGGTGCTAAGTAAGCTGAAGTGGGAAAGAGGCTATACTCACCTTAGCAAAGTATTCTGAGAATGTTTTAGCCTTCTGGAACTACACACTTATGTATATTTAAAATATAAACTGAAGTACTGCACAGTGTTCTCCTTTCTCGGGCTCTCATTATGTCAGGTCAGTAACTCCTACTGCAGTCAGAAGTGTATTCACTTACGTTCTGCCTTTTATTAGTAAAAGTTCTGCAAAGTCTGGGTTTAGACGACTTTGGTTGCACAGTCAATGAAAATCCCTCTTTGGTTCTTTTTTAGCTGCTGTTTGATCTAAATCCTATCTAAATCAGGTTTTTTCCACAGCTCAATAATACTCTATTTTCTTTTTGTTGTTTTTATGTATTATGCATTTATTTACTTAATTCAGAAATATTTGCATTACCATGTAGAAGAAAAGTCAAGAACAACTAGGCTTCCCAGCACTATAGCTTATTATGTATACAGCTCATGACCTAAAATAACTTCTAATATTATCAGATAATAATTTAGCAATCTTAGAAGTATGAAACTTCACATGAATACCAACTTCTTTATTGCAAACCCCTTTAAATCCCTTCTTAAAATCCTTTTTTTAAAGCCTCTTTAAAAAAACCCAATGTTTTAAACAACACTGCCATTAACCCTAGCATGCTTAATACGTCCAGAGATATTATTTTTGAAAGGCAGGAGATATAGTTCTCTGCCCTATGTTTTGAGGGCTTTCATGGCAAGCAGAGCCCTTGGCCTTCAGAGTTAGTCCTCAAACTATAAATACTGTCTCCCACTACATGTTGATACTTGATGAACCAACCTGCCAACCACCTTGGTGATATTGCCTTTCTTCCCCTACAGGCTAGATCACAAATAGACAAAATAAAATGCAAAACAAATACTCTCCTGACATCCATCTCCTACCAAAATAACTTCTCTGATTCACAAAGAAAGGTTACACACAGTTTCCTCTGGGAAAGGTCATTAGAGGCAATTTTTCATGATCTGTGACAAGAGCTTTTACTATAAAAATATTGCCTAAAATGCAAACACAAAATCGTACTCACTGCAATGAGAGTACCTGTTTCTCAGGCATTCAGCAACTCAGTTACTAATCTTTGCAATATAGCTTCCACTGCTACTACATCCCTCTGTTTCCTGCCAACTCTCATCTGTAGCTGCACTCAGTGAATTTAAGCCCATTACCAATGGTATTTTTCTATCAGAAAATTTGTAACACTTAATATTTTAGAAAAAGCACACAGAAGGTTTGATTACAAAGTGTAGTACCTCATAAATCAGCTCAGAAACGTCATTGTTTACAGCATTTACACCCCAAATAAACACTTTAAATGATTAAATTACAGGAATACATATCATGCATCATGCAGAAATTTTATGATCTTATGCTGGTAAAATGCCCCAGTTAGTAATTGTCTCCTTCTGTAATATATGAAGAAAGGCAGAAAATATAAATGCAAGTAATTTTAAAAATAAAACATTTGTAAAATTATTAACTGTGAAATCCACTGCTGGCAGGTGTCCCCAATCAGTCTCTGGCTAACCTCTCCAACTCTCTTATCGCCAAATCACAGTCACTTTCACCTCAGCACTTTTCCAGCTCTCCTAGGAGCTTCTACCAGTCTCACCTAGACAGCCAACTGGTTACCAGCTCACAGCCTCCTTCAATACTTAATTTTTGTTTTGTTGTCCCTCCCCACCCTCAGGTTGTTTCGGGACAAAGTGTCCTCTGGAAGGTGAGAAAGGAGCTGCCTGTGGCTTTGAAGGGATGAGGTGCAGAGGAAACTGCAAGTGTCAGGACAGAGTAGGGTGTGCGAGCATGAGGAGTGTGCATTACTCAAGGAGAAAGAACGGCTACAACAGCAGTGAGGCTTCCCCTGAAAGGGCTGGAAACCACTTCAATCAAAGATATGTAAACAAGCAAACTTTGAAAAGTTATTTTCCTTCCTTCTGACTTGATTTGCAATCTGTCCTTCCTCCAAAACGGAGTTACCAAACTTATTTAGCTCATCTCTGCTGATAGATGTAAAGGAAGTAAAACATGACAGACAGGTTGGGAACAGAATTTGACACCCCCTTGACAGAACAAGCAGTTATTCAATACTGAAGAAACATTTACCGAGCACTATTATTATGGCATTTGTGTTCTAAAGGGAAATCAATGGCTAAAACATAATGGTAAAGTTGAAGGCTATGGCAGCCCTCAGAGACAAAGCTTCATTTAGGATAATGCACTGAGCACTTGAGCTATGCTCTGATCTTCTTATAATAAACCAGGTCATATTCCAGCAGTATAATAGATGTAATTTCACAAAGTACTTCCAGGACTGAATACTCCAGTATATTTAATAAAATAAGATAGCAAACAAAAGGAAAATTTTATGTGCACAGAACAGTAATAAGAGAAACTTTGTAAAGTGTTGGGAATACCACAAATCAAATAAAACACTATTAAAGCAATAGTAGGAAACACTTAATTCTCAAGGCTACTGGTGCAAAGTAAGAATAAAATACTGTATGCACAAATAACAAGTTCATGGAGAGATGATGTATTACTAAATGCAATTCAATTTAGCATACGATATCCCTGCAGCTTGTATACTTCTTACATGCTGGAGATAAATCACAAGAAATTCTCGTTGTCTGAGAACTGTCTGAATTGCTAATTGGGAAACAGACTAAAACCATGTTTCAAAGGCACAAATATTAGATCTGCAACTAACTGGGACAATGGTTCACTACTAAACTTCATGTTTGCTTTTTCAAGTCCTTCTCCTGCCTCCATTCTTACCAACATCTCTTCTGCTATACATTTTGGAGATATCTGAAGGAAATCATATCTGTCATTTTTGTGTCTGTTGGGAAACAAAACATACATATTTGTAACTTTGCAGTGGCTTTTTTTTAAGCAGTAATTAAAAAAAAACAACCAACCAAACAAAAAATATCTTTATTATAAATGGGGAAAGAAGGCTTAGAAATTATGCTTACATATAGTGGTCCTTTGTGCTTTAAGGGAAATAAAAATATTTTTGAGAAAAAAGAGGCGTTATTTTAAATGCAAATCCATGAAGGTATATTCATTCCATTCAGCTTGCCATAACGTATTTAGTACTGGAAGAGTGGTCAAAGGCATGCAGACAGCAGAGTAAATTAAAGGAGCAGTTTAGTAACCACAGATTCATAAAACCCTATTCAGTTTCTGTTTTCTAGCACACTTGAATTATATTTTGTTTGAACACTGAGTTACTTATGTTCAGTTAACATAATGATTTTTAATAACTTATGATAGTAACATATTGGAGTCATCTGGTGAAAAATTTCTCAGTGAGTTGGCAACAGATAGTCTCTAGCTCCAAACACAGCCTCCTACTTCCCTCATAGAGCTCAATACATGAAGAGGGATCTATATATATCCCTTGCGCAGAACTTCAGTTTTAATAAGTCAATTTAAGTTGAAAGATACTCATAAAGCTCAAGGACCCTAAGCTATATGTACTTCAAGCTACCTGATAGTTCAAGGACTGAA